TGGGCAGATCGTCCAGGTAAGTGCCCCAGACCTCACAGACCGACGTAAAGTGGAAGTGACAATTCTGCGTTTCGTCTCGTAAGTGAGGTAACCGGGACCCACTTTCTTAAAAGGTGGTAACGCATCTGCAACGGGTGTTGCAAATGTACATGGGTGATAAACGTATCACTTAACATCAGATTAACCTGCAGTCAACTTGTCACTTTCTAAAATAAAATAAACAACTGTATTTTTATGAGCAGAAATATGTAAGCGTTGTGTTTATAGAAAAACATTGTTATAAGTTCTCATACGATGGATAGCACTAACGGTTTAAAAAGAACCTTACAAAAAGATAACTTGTGTTATTATCTGTGTACTATTTATCAGTTCAAAGTCGACATTAACTGACACGATCGTTGCAAAACTGTCTATGATTATTGCGACCCAATGATAACGAATCAAAACATAACTTGCATCCCAATAAAGCACGGCGTCCAGCCGCCAATAATAGGTTGTGAACGGGTTAAACAGAGCCTACGAATGAGTAAGTTTTGTGATATAATCTGTGTACATTTTTTATTTATAGATTCAAAATCGACGTTAACAGACACAATTGTTGAAAAACTATCTCATGGGGATCCCGATGATTATTTATTCGTTAAAACATAACTTGCTCCCCAATAAAGCACCGCGTGCATTCTCCGATTACTAGGATACCTCGAACGGATTAGACAGAGCCTTCGAGAAAGATAAGTTATGTAATAATGACGTTAACAGACAGGATCTAACGATGATGTTTGATAACGTCGATTAACATTGGGTAATAATAACCCATGTCAACACATATCTTATACCATAACTATGAATACGCTAAACAACTTATTTCCCGTAAAGCCCCGCGTGCGCATAAAGCCCAAGCAAGGACTAGGATATCACGAACGGATAGAACGCAGGGCTGAACAGACACCGTCACAGGCGACGACATAACAATTATTATTCACAAACTGCAGTCGGCGCACGCAAACCAAGCCCGGAGGCGAATATGAACGCCCCATCGCAGGCAGATCATTCAGAAGCGACCACGTTGCGATAGTTAAGCTCAATTATGTAGCGAGGTAGCGACAAGACTTGTCCGCTTCGACGTGGACGCATTAATTTATATAATTATATGCCACTCGGGCTAAGGACGATGATAAAATATTAATGGCAAGGATTAACAGGGTTCCGCTTTTTATGCGCTCGCTCGACAATGTTTACGCTTGACTATGCGACTCGTCGTTTTTTCGAAGACATTCTTCTATTTTTCTTAACAAGGCTCGCATTCAGAGACGAACGTGCTTTAAATACAAGAGCGAAATGTACATACAGACACGTTAAAGAAACACGATTAATTCAAAACAAATACTATTTTCGAAATAAAATTAGACAGAACAAAAGGAATAATGGCGGTGAATAAAATGAAGAGAACGTTCCCACATGGTCAGATTAAAGAGGTCCGACAACGGCTCACTTTGCAATAAATAGTAATTAACCAAATGTACGCGCAAGGCTGAATTAATATGGGGATTTGTAGAGCTAAGGAGCCGTTGATCTTGCTACTGTTAAAAGTGATGTAATTTTTTAATGACGACTCTTGCGACAAGCGGTAGGAATTGGCGATTTGGGAATTAAATTTCTGCAACTGGGAATATTACACAAACTGACACCATCGTAAAATTTGTTTGAAAATGTCCAATTTTAAAAAAGAAATGGAATAAAGTTATATTTGTTGAATACACTCAAAAATTTTATTGATTCCTTTCTTGTATAGTTTGTTGTTTACTTTGTTATATGAAGGCTGTACGCTCTTATACATTGCTCATATCAATGTCGAACTTTAAATGTATAAAAAATAAGATGCTCCTAAATAGTTTTAATGCAGTCGGTCCCGACTGACAGTCGCGCCCTCTGCCGAGAAGCCGGTCTCTTACGCCAACATGGCGAACGGAAGCTGATGGACGGACAACACCGCGTTGTTCGCTATATTTAGACGTCGGTTTTAGAAGCGTGCGGCCCACAGACTGCACAAACCCGGCCAACCCGATAATTGCTTTATTATGTCTGTTTGAACAGCAACTGCAAGGTCCTATATGTCACGTCTCCGTATTAAAGAAAAGAGATTCTTTTAATCACGATATTTTTTTAAATATATAGTTTTATGCAAAATCTTAATCACCATTTAAAGCTAATGTCCACGGAAAATGTAACGCATCATGACTCATCAGAGAGGAAGAGATTTTACCTTATATGGTACGATAACTTTTTTTTTGAAAACCATTTTTGGATCAAGATTATTTTAATGACTACTACTATGAGTAAAGAACTTCTGGCAAGAATTTACTATGAAGAACATAAGAGATTAAATATGACGGACTCAGATTGTCGGAGCTCATAAGATTATTGATACTAAGACCGCAACGGATATTGCTTACGGCTACTTTTTACTTAGTGCTGTGAAAGATATTTACATTACATTTAAGAGCTTTCAGGAAAATGTTATAGCACAAAATATTAATATACTTTCAACTACTCTATATGACTATAGACACAATTAAAAAAAAAACGAAATTTTTTTTCTATAACTTGCAATCGCGAAAACAGCACGCAAACTGGCCGAATACAAAGCCGGACGGGAAAATAAAAACATGCACAATTACCGCGGGACAAGTTGCCGGGGCGAATACAACGAAATCGTCGCGGTCGTTATGAACGCCTTTCCGAAAATCAAGCGGGCGTAAAGATCTCGAGCGAGAATTACGAATCCGACCCGCGGACGGACGTTGCCCGTAATCTAAGAAAGAAATCTCTCTCCGATAATGGCGTTCACAATGTGTATTGTAATAGCATCACGTACGATAATCGATACCATTATGACATACAAAACAGAATTGCACCTAAGCATAATCCAATATTTATATGATCCGTGACTGGATCGGCTACGGATCTCGATGGAAGTCGTCGCTCCGTCTTTATCGCACGGCCGAATTAGTGGCTATGGGGAATAGGGACGGTTGTTTGCAGTCTCCATCATCTGGCCGTGGTGTTTGCATTCCCTCGCCTCTCGCGACAGGTAAATTCGTCGACAAAGGCGGGTGGGAGTTCGTGTTTATTATAAGGAATACCAAAATGCAGGTAAAGACTCATTGTGTACGCGCCCCCGTCTAGCGAATAATAGAGTTTTAGGAAACGGCACAATGAAGGAGTAATTTATGTGGACCGCTATACAATATTCAACATTGATTTCGGAAAACGTGGTTTTTTTTTAACGGCGCCGCTCTATGTTTTGGTTGATGTTAGTTTTGGTCCAAGCGGTTCCAATGTTTGTTTGTTTCACGCGCAATCTGCGATTTGTAGGGAAGCCGACGTATCTCAATCTCCGATGGTATCACCTGTTATTTGTGGTAGACATTCGGGGATAATTAAGTGCTTCACTCATTACGGTTAACAGAGGCGATGTTAATCTACGCGTAGAATTGGACATAATGAGGTCGACTACCGCACGGGCTTATGAATATTAAACTCTACGGCGCGCCGTGTAAAAATTCGGTGCTGTCATAAACAAAACTTTATCTGAATTCTTGACGTCGAATGGCCATCGAATGAGGCACACCTTGTGCAGCAAACATAACTAATTGATCCGTTCAGTGATGTGTCGCACACAAAAAGCCGGAGGTGTGTTGAACTTTAATAAGTAAGCCGGTAGCGTCGGATTCCGATCAATAGAAGTGTAATATTGTGAAAACTTATAAATGAAGGCTGCATGTTTTTTGGTACGCTCACTTGAAAGCGTGAAATCCAATGTACACAGATATAAGTACAATAGTCGAGGTGAAACTTGTAGGCGCGCCGGCAAATTTGTAGTACTGGGATGGATGCATTCAAATAAATGGCGATCCTATTCAACGTTGTCGTAGTATAATACCGGGAAGAATCTCAATAGAGGCCTACCTGAGCTGGCACCTGCTGTGAACGCAGCGGTGCACATCGTTTCCACAACGTAAGCGCCACGTGAACTTGTTGGTTTACATTGCACTTTTATTAAAAGGCGGGATAAATAATCTAATGGCACAATTGAAGTGATATTTCAGACTCGTGTCATTATGACCACCCAGAAGTTATTACTTCGTAAAAGTTAATTATGGGTTTACCGATCTAGGGGCAATGGAAATGATCACCTCATCCCGCCTGACTTCCGCTCCAGAAGAATGCGGCTGCTTTGCCAGTCTTTTAGAGATTGGACCTCAATTCACCTATTTACCGATTCGTTCGTCAAATCCAGTCTAATTTCAGGCCGTGTCAAATAATTCCGTAGTAGAAAGAACGACAGCCCTATCGAAAATTCACTGCTAGATATAGGCCTTCCCCACAAATTACCACCAAGTACGATCCTGAGCCACCTGCATCCGTCGACTTTCCGCACATTTGCACTCCACTAGTGGGGGGTCATCTTACACTGTGATGGCCAAGTACGAGGCTGCCACTCGAAAACCTTTCTTCCCTAACGCTTATCGGTTCTACGAGCTATATGGCCGGCCCATTAACACTTCATCTTACTAACCTTCTGAGCTATTAACATTTGTAGAAAAAGTACGAAAAGATTGTCGCCGCTGTGGGAATCGAACCCACGTCTTCGGCATTCGCGGCCTGACGCTTTAGCCACTAAGCCAAACGGCTGATTGCCACACCAACGAAAATCTTAACGTCTTTTATCCACATTGTTTTTAATTCTTCCTCTGAGCGATGTCGGTTATCTTTGTTATATGGAGTATCATCACAATCATCATTTCAGCCTCTTTGAGTCCACTGCTGAACATAGACCTCCCCCACAGACTACCACGGAGCACGATCCTGAGCCACCTGCATCCATCGACCTCCCGCACACTTGCACAGGTCGTCATTACATCTAGTGGGGGGTCATCCCACACTGCGATGGCCATAATATATAGAGTATACGTTGTGATAATAATAAAACGTCTTACCTCACTCTCGGTCCAATCGATGAGACTGGACTTTTCTTCCAGAAGGTTCTCGGAGCTCCGCTTCTCGTCCTCCCCGTCGCCCTCGTCCTTGAACACCTTCACCTCATCCGTGGAGCCCAGGTCGTCGCCGCCCGAGCTCGCCGCTGAACTCGAGTGCGCATGAGGCATTTTCAAGAACCCAGCGCCCCAACTTCCATTATCCCATCCTTCAACAACTACCCATTGGCACTATCTGTTATCCATGACCACTCACTGCGATTCCATTTTGTCCTTATTCCAAATTTGGGAGCTTACAGATTATGGTCCTTCTAGTTGGATATGCGGTAAGAACATGGGCTAACTAACGTTTCGATTGTTTCTCACTAATCTAAATTAGGCGAGCGTTTTATTTTAACTTAACTAAAATGAGATCACAGATAACTTTTGTCAGGTTGAACTTAAAATTCTAAGATTGCGGTGTCCCCTTTGATTATGCGCCGAGTTGCACCTGAAAAAAAAAGAAAATACGCTGTCAATATTATATTTTCGCCCCTGTTATATTACTGAGATGGTAAGTTCGCCATTTTACGCAGTTATATTTTGCCGTCCGCGTATTTCGGGTCAAGAAGATTGTCAAGTGACGTCGACAGCCTCTCTTGGCTTTAGGCCAAGTATTGCTGAGAAAACCCCTCGGGAATAACGCATTGACTATAGAACAAAAAGCATTTGGCTTATACTTTAATTATCGCTTCACTTCAACATTGCAGACATAAAAGGCGATGCTAAACTTTCATCCTAAACTATGAGTTATTCCTGTAGAATGTAGATGAAGTATATAAATAATTTCGGTAAAATTATCTTGTGTGTCATAAAATATTTTGTCAGATATTTAAATGGCGCCGTAACGCCGTCCAACTGAAATATTTTTATTAATTTTTTATTTATTCATAAAAACAAATTGAGGAAACTTTTAAGCGTGGTTACGTTAAAATGAGAATTGATGGGTTAGCCAAATGACAGACATTTATGCATCTACTTCAAATTGGATCATCCCAACGTGACTTCACGAGCCATTACTGAAAGTCTTGAAATAGAATTATCACTTTCGTTCTTCCGAACTGATAAATTTTAAAAACATAAACATTTGTTTGGCGTCCGCATGATAAAGGTTCGCACACACGCGTGCTAAAGTTGCGCGCGCGCAATTGTTGCTATGTAGAATGCATTTGTCATAGTTGGTATGTGGTAGAGGTGTAGGCCGTTTGGTGCAATATGAATAATGTCGACCGACACGCCCGGGGAGAGTTATGCATGTCAATGATGCCGTGTTGAGTTACGAAGCGCTAGAGCTCTTTGTTCTAATAGGCCTGCTTTAATGAGCGGCGCGGTTGGCAACGTACGGAAAGGATATTGCCTCGGGAAACGTTATTTCGCATTTTCCGATGGAAAAGCCTTTTGCGGGAAAGCAGCCGAGCGTCACCTTCAGTTGGAATTGCATGGAACGTTTAGGGAGTCTTTAACCTTAAATGTAAATGTTATGTAATAGCAATTTTTGTTGAAGTTTCGAGAAAAGGAAAATGATTATGGAAATAGAATCTCAGAAAATGGACTTAACAATTTACTGAGAGAATGTTTACAGGAATTACACTTAACATTTGAAAATTTTGTATGTTTCACGGTAAGGAGACGAAAATAAGGCCTAGGGACTTTAAAGAGGATGAAAGAACAGGTCGTCGATAATGATATTTCTATTGCTTATCATATTTTATATAGGACATCTTCTTGTACCTTAATCGTTAGTTTGTAAGTCTTTTTATTGGTTTTTAATGTTCAAGTAACACTAAAATTGGTTTCTGTCAGTACCAGTACAACAGAAAATCTTATATGATTTAATGGTTAAGAGGAAAACTTTATTTCATTGCGTTTTCTATTGTGGGTATAAAAGGTTCGTACCGTTGAATATGTGCAAGTGTGGTCAGACATTTTACCGTGTCTATTAAAGAAAAAACCAGTGAGATCATTGCTGACACATTCCTGTGGTCTATCATTCCTCTTAAAAAATGTTGCATATCCTTAAGAATATAGAAAGTGTATAGCAAACTCAAGTTCTTATATTTCAATCCCAAAGCATCCTTGTAACTGTAATGCTTATTAATACTAAGTCTGTGACTTAGTATTAATAAGCATTACTTATTATTATCTAGAGTTTGGACCGTCATATTTTGCTATTAATTTCGCTTTTCCCATAATTGTTTTTTCTCAATTTCGTCGACTCAATAAAAATGGGAAAACTAACAGGACATGAATAAAGAGTCGCGTAAGGCCTGTCCCATTGAATAACGCTGTTCAAGTACCACATCTCCTATGACTATGTTTGAAACCTGCAAGTAGTTGAAAAAATCCCACGACTCCCGGAATACTCTGCATCATTAGCATAAAATGAAACTCAAGTGTGTAAAACGGCGTTTTATCTAACTTAAAGCAAATAATAATAAATTTAATTAGATTAGACGTGCGGAACTCCCATCTGGTCTAAGCGTTACCTTCTAAAGTCTCGCGTAGATCAACAGAGACGTTTTTATAGACGGATCAAATAATCAAGCTGGGTTAAATAGAAATTATACGACACAAATTGCGGTTTAAGATATAAATAACACGAGACATTACGTATTCAAATTTGGAAGTTGAAATGTTTAATAAATCACAGCGATAAGCGTTAAATGTACGCCCACGTTAAACAGTTGGATCATTTTAAGACGGCTATAGTAAGTTAAGTATATTAAATCATACGGCCGTGGCACTAGCTTAATGAGCTATTAAGTGCGTTACGAAACTCATAATTGAAGTTCTTTCCTACCGGGATTACTATAGGAAAAAGAGACATTTGACTGTCGTACATACAACTGTCGTCGGTACCCGCTTAAATAATTCATAAGCATTCATTTTTCAGATGGTCTATATTTGAACCACTGTTAATAATGTTGTTGGGTCATTATCCATATATCATTATTTTATGAAGCAATAATGTTGCTGCTCAAAAAAAAACTATTTTACATATGCCACCAACACCTATAATCTAGAGTGAGTATTAAAAACTGTCATTAGTCCATTCTGAACTATTCCTAGCATCGCACGAGCAATCATAATCGTTCGACATCCAACGCATCCATTAGCATCGCGGAACCATCTTCTTATGCATGCATACAATGCAAACATATTACAAATATGAAGACACCTATAGGTGTCAATTTTATGTGTCCACTGAATTACAAATTACGGGCTGAGCCGTAATAGCGTTATTTTACAAATTTAAATACAAGTACACATTTCCTGTATGATAACTAAAATTAGAATTTTATTAATACGTGTTTATTTTCATGGAGAAAACTAAATTTTTATTCACTTAATTGGCACAACGATAATTTGAACTATGTCAAAACTTAGCTTCGCCAGTATGGAACATGACAAATTAAAAATTATTATCTGAATGAAATTTGATATCAGCCAAAGCTAAAATCATCATCGCCAATTTTCATACATAGAAATAGTAGCGAAGTATTGTGTAGTTAAAAAGGACTAACATAATCGATCTTTTCCAGGGACTGCTTGTGTGATACCTAAATTAGGATAAGCGTCTATAAAGGTTACCGTTTTCGCGGGCGCTGAGACAAATGCTTTGCATGACGTCAAGGACTGAGAATAAATCATCGGCCGATGGAGACAAAGATAACATTAGGATCCACCCATTCAACGGCTATAAGTGGGTCTCATTAGACATTCAATCTGATTAGAGACGCCATAGCCGTACACTCGACGGTACAACAAAACGATTAGCACATGAAAGATACGCCAGTTAGGCCATTCGGAGACACGCTATCGGTCTCAACTGGAACTGGTTCTTGACATTGGAACCACAGCCGAGGGGCACGCCGCGTGTAGAAACGGGTCGCGGTTATTGCTTACCACTTATCTGTAACATTCGAATAGAGCGCGGACTGAGAAACGTTCGGGAATTATCAAGAAACGAAACGATATTGTTGTTTTTTTTTAATTGTTAAATCAAATATTATTCGCACGTCACAAAAGTATGTACACTATGAATGACCTGATGGATGATGAATCTGAAACTAGTGTTTCAATTCTACATAAGTTTAAAATAATGTGTAACGTACTTTCATCAGTAATTTTTAAATTATAGAAAGGCACAGTTTGTGTGTCAAAATAGCCAATATTTGTTAGGGGAAACAATAAATCGATTGCAATTGTTCTAAGAGGATTGTTATTAAGTTCGGTTGGTCAGACTTTTTCGTGGAAGTTTAAAACACGAATCAATCACGAAACACCAGTGAAAGACAATCCGCTACAGGATACAACATACTAGAATCATCTAAAGAATTGCATCCTCCATTTTTCAAAATGCGTGCTATTTTGAAACACAAATACTAGTAACTTAAAAACGTAATGAAAACGCACGCCACATTTTTTTAAATATCGGTGCACTTTATTAATCGCACAACCGCGAGGGTTATTATCAATAGGATCATTAGACACAGCCATAACATCAATAAAACGACACATCGAACGGAGATAAATCTAGTGTTAACGCTGAAAACCGTCCCGATAACGTAGCACGCACGAAAAGGGTAAATGGAAAATAACTCTCATCGGAGTGATCGAGGTATGATGCAATTAAAATCGAGATCGCGCGAGTACATTTAAAATGGAATCCAGACGAATGCGAAATGTGTAAATAAAATGCTCACTCGTTCAGACGAAAATTGATGTACGTATATGACGCATTCGTACCCTTCCATTTGGCAGCGGGAGTGAACGATTTTTTTCCCGACGAAATATTATATTTTGTGGCAAACGGGGCCCGTTCGTTATTTTTGAGGCATTTACGATTATGCTTGCATAGGCTGCCTTGGCAGTCTTCCAGAACATTCAATTAATGATATTAGCCGAAGCACTTACACTTTAAGTTAATGTAACAAACGCATTTAGTCAATTATAATAACTCTTGTATACATCGTAACTTTATGTGAAATATAGTTATCGAAGAAAATTAGTGAAATATACAAATTGGTTAATTTTTATAGAAATATGTTACTTTTAAAAAAAACTGAACATTATGATATTTTATATTGAGTCTTATTTAAAATGAAATATTAATATAAAAATGCAATAGT